AAAAAAAAAAAAAAAAAAAAAAAAAAAAATAATTACCTCGTTTTGTATGCTGCCGTGTATTTCAATATTTCTGCGAAATTTCTATAAAATAATTTTGGTTAATATCTATTTTATTTTAATGTTTAATTTAATTATTCGAGTTTCGTTTAAATCGTTCGTATCGGTGTATGCACATGAGCAGATATTTTAGTTGGAAATAATCCTTAATCGTGTAACACGATGAATTTCAATATACGTATATCGATATATCGATCACACATGAAATTCAAATCTATTCGTTTTCGTTAAGGGTTTGTGATAAGGCAATATTTCAAAATCTGGACAATCGAATTTCAATATATACGTACATATATATATATATATATATATATCGATCGTATATAGAATTCAATCTCGAATTCGTTCTCGATATTGTTCGCTAATTCTTCATGATAATATTTATGTAACACGATCGATATTTCAAAATTTGGATGATCGAATTTCAATATACGTATATCGATATATATCGATCACACATGAAATTCAAGTTTCAAATCTGTTCGTTCTCGATATTTTTCGCTAATTCTTCATGATAAAATTTGTGTAACAAGATCGATAATTCAAAATCTGGATAATTGAATTTCAATATATGTATCGATATATATCGATTATATGTATGGAAATTCAAATCTATCTATTTGTTCTCGATGAATTCTTTATAAAATAGCTATTTGCTTAAAAATACTTAAACTACTAAAAATACTAAAAATCTTTTCGGTACATTTTGTAATATAGATTTCGCATAAAAAGTGCATGAAAATTGAGAAAGACGCGGAAGATTTCTAGATCTAATTGTTATCGATTGGAGCATAGACGAGAATAGACAACGAGTAATAAACGTGCTTAAATGAAATATTCCCGTTGCCTAGTATACCATTGGTTTAAGTGAAATTTTTGAAAATTTAAATATCTAAATATTCAGCAGAGATGCCGTTTTAAAACTTAAGAATGTCATTTGCCATTGATAAATTGAACTATTCTGATTGCTGAAAAATGAGGTCCTCGAATTTTTTAACGCTTCTGCATGAGAATAATGGAATATTCTACAATCGTCGACAAATAGTTTTCGATGAAATGTCTATTTTTATTGTCGGATAAAATCATTGGATTGGTCGGTTGTATTTAAAAATGTCACGCTGTTCCGAAAATTCGTCAGATAATCGAAGATTTTAAACTTACCGTTCGCAATCGTCCTGGAAATTTGCTGGAATCATATTCGTTGTCTGAATATTTTTTGCAGAACCTCCAAGAATTCGCATCTGTCTTCACATTCTCGAACAATCTCATTGGGAAATTGCGAACGAGACGATTCACGGCGATTAACGAACCTTTCAAAAAAGCATAAACGAAAGTAAGAACCTCTTTATCGACGATCAAACTGTGAAATTACACTCACCGTTGCGATTTCAATAACAAATTCGCCAATTTTTTCCACGGCTCCTCCTCGAAGACCATTCCGTCCGTTGAAGACTAAAAAAGCGGAAGTAGCCACCGCGAAGAACAATGTACCTCCCCTGATTTTCTACTCGACTCAATTTTGATTTCAATTATTGTACTATTACACAAAATCTTAATCTCCGTTTCTTTTCGATTTTGAATGTTCCGTAAAACCTGTTGCGAATTAAAAATTCGAAAAAGAAATGAAATTACAATCGCGAGACTGATTAATTGCATCGGAAATGAGGACAGGTGGAAGTAAAAAAAAAACTCTCAGCGCCCCCTTTTTTTTACAGCAGTAATAAATAATTAATGATTTGTTAAATATGCGCAAAATTTTGAGAAATAATTTGAAATTATCTACAAATTAATTGACAGCTATTGTCAACATTAAATACGACCGATGAAAAAAAGGGAAAACGCGGGAGAACAATGTTGCTGAGGAAGCCATAATTAGCGCCACCTCTGATTGCATAATTACATCTGATTTGACAGATTAATCAATCGATAGACACGATCGATCCATGTTTCTCTTCTTGTGGAACCCTTTCTTAGGAAAATCCTTGGGAAAAATGGAAATGAGGACCTCAAAGAAATTTAAATGATCCACGGACTTGTTATGTTGCAAAAGAATTGCACAGGTATAATCTATTTTTATTGTGATTCATCTACTAGGAAGTGTGATATATATTGATTCATGTATGGCGATGCGTATCGATTCGTTCTTCCAGAAACTGCGTGTCGTTTATTCGATTCGTAGTGATAAACTCGTAAGCGGTTTTACAGGCTAGCGAACGCGTCAGAATCTCGAATCTTGTATAGCTGGAGGAATGTGGGCGCACCAGTTTCGAGAGTCATTCAGAGAATCGGCCACTCGTCTGACCAATTTCTCTTAGAATGAAAAGCGCGGGAAACCATCTGTCTTTAACCTATAAATATGCATGACATACAACATATAATGTTCGTCATTTGCATCGTAATTAATTACAGCCAACATTAAACAGATTAGGCTTAGATTATTACTGTTATTGCTATTGTAAAATGCTGCCCTCTCAAATGTTTATCTGACATTTAACAATTT